ATAAGACAAAGATACAATAACAAAATATTAATGATCAACATCTTGCATTTTTTCCAAGTCGAGTTCAGTTTTTGCAATAGGAGACCACTCTGAATACTGAAAAATTGGGATTTTGACAATTTAAAAGTAATCCCTTGGAAAAACAGCCGTTCATACTAATATTTCCAGCTGTTTTTTTGGGTCACATGTGCTACTATTGGCCAATCACAGAACCTGTAACTAGATGCAAAATGAAATTTGGAATGATATATGTATTAAAGTTAGACGCCGTATTAACAGCTACTGACATTTACAGATCATGTTTTGCAAGATGCAAAAGTATGAAATGTGTTCAAATTGCAGATTTGGAAAAAAAAAGAAGGAAGAACACAATGATGCACGACTTTGAGTTTGTGTTCAAACAGGTGGTTCTAGATTTACAAGAAAACAATTTATTTTTTATTTTTGTCGGAACTTTTAAGCCCTTGGATGCAATTGTTTTGGACTTTGAAGATGTCTATGCTAGCCAAGATAATAAAATATACTTAATGTAGGATTACACATCCCCATAGTTCTTTGATCAACTTGGCATTGGCAGGAGCAATCATCTTTTATTGGATTATCATCATGTGGTGTTGTGTACTGAATCCAACCAAAACATTATATTTAGTATATAAACAGCTGCCGACCAGTCCAACTCAAAAGTTTAAAAGGCGTGTCCTAGCAATCCTGTCAAAGTTAAAAGAATATAGCAAGATAACCGAAGGCCAATACAGATATCTGTATCCCACAGCAGAGAACACTCCTAGAATGTACTGTACACCCAAGATCCACAAGCAGGGAAACCCACTGAGGCCTATTGTGGACTACACTGGATCCATTGGTTTCAATGTTTCCAGATCATTAGCAGACATTCTTGGACAACTAGTGGGTAAATTGGAATATCATGTAAAGAACTCAAAACATCTAGCGGAAGCTTTGTTTACCATCATGACTCAGAAAGACGAAGAATTCATTTCACATGATGTTGTCTCTCCCTTTACCAACACACCCATTGACGATGCACTTAGAATCATTCGGTTTAGAATTAGACAGATCCTTTCGCAAAAACACAAACATCCAGATTCAGAACATCATAGATTTGCTAGAATTTGTGCTGACAACAACATATTTTAGTTTTCGAAACAACATCTATCAGCAACGTTTCGGCACTGCTATGGGTAGTCCAGTGTATCCCATTGTGGCCAATTTGTTCATGGAACATTGGAGCAAGAAGCAATAGCCACTGCCCCCGTAGAATGCAAGCCTAGCTTATGGAAACGCTATATTGACGACATAGTGCCCTTCCGTGACATTCTACTGGTAAAGAAAGATGACGGGCCGTGAAGGTATTGGTCTAAAGGGAAAAGAACCATACGCATCAATACATGAACGTAAAATTTCATCACCCTTTGCACCAGAAGTTAGGCGTCGTACGTACATGTATAGTACAATAGTCACAGAACGACAGAACAAAACACAAGAGCGGAATCGCATCGCTAGGACAATGAGCACATGTGCATATCCGGAATAGGCCCTTAACGGGTACAAAAACAGTGTCAAAGTAAGGAGAACAACAAGAAAAGGCCAATCAAGGACAAGAACAAAACCAAAGGTCAAGTCGTCATCCCGTAAATAAAGGGTTTATCCAAAACCATCCAGAGGATATATCGCGGTGATGGAATATCAACAGCCATGAAGCCCAACAAGACGCTTCGCAATATCCTACTACATCCTAAGAATAAAACACCGAAAGAAAACGTCGAACAATGCGTATACAAAAACTGCAACGCATTGTATATTAGAGAGACTGCAGGGCGATTTGGGGTCCGCCTTGGTAAATACCGGAAAGATACGGAAACCCAAGAAGGTAGGAAATTCACCAGATCAGAAAAGAATCTGTCGGAGTCCCAGATTAGTAAATCGGAAAGCACAGACCATGCCACACAGAAAATTCATGGGATTGACTGGGATAACTCCAAAGTTTTGAACTGAGAGAGCAATCTGTTCTATCGGCAGATAAAGGAAGCCATCTGGATACGCCGCAGTGGGCCAGTTCTCAATCGAGATGAGGGAACTCAAAGACTCTCGCACATATATGACCAATAGTTTAACAAAGCGTAGTCGAATTGAGTCGTTTCGGTACATATATAACAACTATTGTACTTGTCTTATTGGTTGTATAAAAAGAACTTATCATAATCCATACTTACCAACCTAAAGAAAATATTTAGAAAATATATTTAGTCTCTCTTTTGTGACTGGAACAAAACTGATAACGGATGATGTATTGAGGCGGAACACCAATTTACCAGGGATATCAGTTTTTATTATGTAGAAATTAATAAAACAGAATTCCTCGAATATTCAATAAATGTCAATATTTCCGATAATGAGCGTCTATGTCCCCTGTGCAAATGGAATTCTTGGTACAGCCTTACGTCACCGCAATATTTGTCTAGGTTATTCGAGGCGAGATGAGATATTTCAAAATAACGCTGTTAATATTGCGTTCATAGTTCTATGAAGGTATTTTTTTTCTGTTAATGCTAGAGGACCTTGCAGTGGAAATGTAAATATATCAATATACAAAACAAATAAGAAATTCGAATATTGCAGTCCCGGAACTCTTCGTTCACTAAGGTTCTGCAGGACTGATTTTAATTATGATATCACAAGAAGTATACATTATTACATATATATATATCATCAATTAATGACGTATATAAACATTGGACAGACACAAATTAATAACGATTTATCATTTAAAGCTCTATACAATAAAACTGTTACACAAATATGATATAATATATCTAAAATTAATAAGTAACATTAAAATCCCCAAAATAATATTAAAACTATTGTGAATGTTCAGTATGTATGCATTTGCATCTTAAATGTACGTTCAGTATGCTCACTGTACATGTATGCTCACTGTATGCTCATTCAATATGCTTGTTCATCATACTTGTATACTCATCATTCATTGTACATGTATGCTCATTGTACATGTATGCTCACTGTACATGTATGCTCACTGTATGCTCATTCAATATACTTGTTCATCGTACTTGTATACTCATCATTCATTGTACATGTATGCTCATTGTACATGTATGCTCACTATACATGTATGCTCATTGTATGCTCATTCAATATGCTTGTTCATCGTACTTTTATACTCATCATTCATGTATACTCATTGTGCATGTATGTGCAATGTTCATGTAAATTGCTTTCATATATATGCTCATTACGCATGTATGCTCATTGTTCAGCTATGTTCAGCAACATGTATGCTCACTCTACATATATATTCATTGTACAAGTATGTTTATTATACACATATGCTCAATGTACATGTATATTTATTGTACAAGTGTGTTCATTGTATATGAATGTTCATTGTCCATGTATGTTCATTGTACATGTATGTTCATTGTGCATGCTTGTTCATTTATGTTTATTCATTTATTCATTTATGCTTTCATATATATGCTCAATACCCATGTATGCTCATTGTTCATTTATGTTCATCGACCTGTATATTCATTGTACAAGTACGTTCCTTGTACATGTATTTTTAATTGTACATATATGTTCATCGTACATGTTGGTTCATTGTATATTAATTCTCATTTTTCCTGTATGCTCATTGTACAACTATGTTCATTGTACAAATTTTATATTGTATATGTATGCTCATGGTACATGTATGTTCCTTGTACATGTATGTTCATCGTATATGTATGTTCAATGTACATGTTTGTTCAATGTTCATGAATGTTCATTGTACATGTATTTTCATTTGACCTGTATGCGCATTGTACATGTTTGTTCATTGCATATTGATGCTCATTTTCATGTATGCTCATGTTACAGGTATGCTTATTGTACATGTATGTCGATTGTACATGATGATGTATTGTACATCTGTTTATCGTACATAAAATGTCATTGTATATACATTTCATTGTACATATATGTGAATAATACAACCAATCCAGATGATCTATCATGAATATAAACTGTGATGTACGTCAGAAACAATTGGATTGTAGTATACTTATCATTAACAAGAATGATAAACAAGTGCAATAAACAATCAAATTAATAAAATAAAACATAGGTATGTGATACAATATCTTTGTGTCAGATTAAAGTTATACCACACATGAAACCTTACATCTGCTACACAACTAGATATGATCACGAGGGTCTACCAATAATACATAGGTCACAAATCATTCCTATTAAGATTTCAAAACAATATCCATACAGGTGATTGTTAATACAAAAAGAAACCTATGCCAATTTGGTCCTTTGTGTCATTTTTCTTAGATAATTATTAATGTTATGCGTAAAATGTTGACTGTTGGTAAAAATTAAGACAGTGATTTGCAATGAAAATTAAAAAAAATACAACCTAAGAGATTGAAATAACAAAATAGAACATATAAAAACATGAAATATGAGACAAATCGACAAATCATACTTGGGAAATAGTGATAATAAACATGAACTGTCATAATCTAAGATGACTGCTTGGTAGTCAACTTATTTCAGGATCATATAAAATTGAAACGTGAACAATAAACAGCCAAGAGGAAACTGCATATAATAATGAAGAAAGAATTTTGAACGGGCAAAATACAGTAGGGTTATCCCCTAAAGACACGACACACAAGTACCGGTTATCGAGTTATCCAATACCATCTTTAAATCATTATGTTCTGTTACAGACTGTAAGTGACTACTTCATAGCTCGTCAACACTGAAATCGGTCACTATCAGGCATCAACCTACGACTATATTTAAATAACACCTTGCTAAAGTAGCCTGCAAACAATGATTAAATAATCAAAACTAAACAGTAAGTATTGACGGACTGTTTTTATTAGTAACACATCAAGCCTAGACGTGTCCCGGGACAGAGTGACATTTACTAATCATGTTGTCCGACTTTTAAAATATAACAGGATCATGAACATCTTTTTCGTGGTAATGCAAAAATAATGTTAATACAGGTTTAGGAACAAAATAGTTTTCTTTGATTCTAATAACAGGTGGAAATTGATGTCAAATTCACCACTGCAATTCATCAGGAAATCACATTCATCGTTCTAGCAACTGAACGGTCACCGATATTAATATATCACAATACAGATGTTAAGAAGCTAGAAATCCAACAAAGTTTTAAATGCGATAATGTTTACATGGTATGGCTGGTTCAGTATCACATAAACGTTAGTAAAGTGTTATGTTCAGATATATCCTTTGTGTAGGAGTATTAAATTGGTTACGCTGTAGAAGTGTTTATATGTGTGAGTGCTGTAAACGTTCTATCCTCTCCTTGGCAGCGTTCTGATGTTGATCAGGTCCTTGACTTTTAAGAGATTCCGTGTATTCCCTGAGAGCACTGCGTGTGTCCTCAACCATTTCATAGCATATTCCCAAGAGATTGTGGACTATCCAATGCTTACTACATCCCTGTTCCTCGTCATACTTCAGGTACCGAAGGTCAATCAAGGATTTGTCACGTCTCCTTGTGTCTCCAAGTTCATGGTAACATAGGAAAGACAGGAACACGGCATAAGGGAGTGGAGGGATTCGAATGGAATCTCTTTGTGCAAGTTTTGAAATCTCCGGGTGTAACTGGGATGGACAGAACTGTTGAGCTTCTCCTCTAAACATGATATCTGATACAAATGCCTGGCATTTTTTTAGAAGGTTGTACCCACGTCCACAATAGAGCTGCTTATACCTATCCCTATATTTACAGCTTGACATATTACCAAGATACAGTTTGGATGAAGAGATGATATGAGTACATATTTCCAGTGTGTTCATGTAATTTCCAGTCTGGTAGTAAAATGTTGCCATGCTTAGTAGTCTTAGACTTGTGGACACTGTTGCAAACGGTTTTAATAAGTTCTTGCATTTCCTGAGAGATTTGTACTTTTCCTTATTTCCTTTTGCAGTGACGTGTTTATCGAATGTCTTCAACCCTGTATTAGATAGTGCTCTAACCGTAGCAAAGTAACCTAGAAATTCATCCAAGTCCAAAGTTGATGCTGAAAGGAGTTCCAACGTCAGAGGAAGTTTATCAGAACTTTGGTTTAAATAAAATACGGTTGAAAATATTTCAAAGTCACGTATAAGTTCTGATTGAGTTGGTAAGGAAAGTATATATGCACATGCTCTTTTCCTCACACGATTGAAAATCTCTCCAATGGATGGTTGTATGATTGTTCCAATTGTGAGACATCCCCAATTCATACCATGAAGGTAACTGAGAAAATGAAGAAGTTTCTGTTGATTTTCACCCTGAACTTTGCCAAGGAACATATTGTTGTTCTTAATGAAGTAATTTGGGCAATGTCCTGCTTTCACCCAATTGATTAAAATCTTCAAACAAAACATGAAACAGAGAAAAGTATGTTTTTCCTGCCAAAATGATTCATTTGTGCTCTCTACTGCATGGAATATGACTGTTTTTATAATATAGGAAGACAGAATATCTGTTTCGTCTAACATTTGTTCCAACGTTCCAGATATCTGTTTCTGGAAGAACTTAAGAAGTCCATATATTAAAAACTGGACATGAGTTAAAGAATACATGAGTTTCCTTTCCGCAGTCACGAAGGATATCCTCCACTGTAGGAACGGGTCAGCAGACGTTTTATCCCCTACAGTGACTAGCTGACAACCACCTTTTATTATTTGATCTCTCAAAGCTTTATCTGGCCAGTTATGTAGACGTGGTCTACTCGCCCACTCATTAGCTTCACTTGGCCAATTATAACATGGAAAGGAACTTACCTTATCTACTTCTGATGAAGTTTGATTATGTTTCCGATTTAGTGTAACTGCTGGGCCATGTATTTCTGTATTTAGGCCTAACTTTGTACTCAGTACACCATCGCATGTTTCTCTGTAAATTTCACTTGATATGAAAAGTACATCCCCTACTGAAACAATAGATTGCTGAAATTGTGAATGACTTGTTTGTCCCAGATGAAGTAGTTCCAGGTTTACATATCCAGGTCGGCTTATAGCCTTTCTCATCATCAAAACAGATCTATTTGCGCTGTCAAATTGACTACCTATGTCCTGATCTGGACACATAACAATCACATTTTTGTCAATATTCATAATGTCTAAGTTTGACCCCTTAAGATAAATTCCTTCTGCTCTGCTTCCTGTAGTAAATATTTCGCACTTACATCGTTTATTTCCTGTGGAACTCCTTAGTTGCTCTTTAATAACTGTCAGTCTCCTCCTGACAGTCACATTCTCTCGCGTCGCTATACATCTGTTTAGGATGTGATACAGAATCCAGGACTTCTCATACAGCTCACCCTGATTGGACATTTCAGTGATATGCCAAAGATCCTGTAAATATAACATAGAAACCACATTATCTTATTTAGTAATACTTGAATTGGTACTCCCTGTTATACATGTTTTTTCTTTGAATCTGGATAATAATTGCATGTGTGTTCATTGTATATGTATGCGCAGTTTGTCTGCAAATTATTGTAAGCGTATTATCATTCAACATGATTTTAATTGTACATTAAGGCTCATTCTTCTTGTATGCTTATTGTACACGTATGCGCATTGCGCATGAATGGTCACTGTACATGACATATATGCTCATTGTACATGTGTGCTCATTTTGGATGCATTTTCATTGATCATGTAATCCTCATAGTTAATGTTTGTTCATTATGCATGTATGTTCAGTGTACATGCAAAGGATGAGTGTCTGTATGGTCCGGTATGGGCCCGGTATATCCGGATTTTCATCTCCTTATTCTGTTGAAAGATGTCTTATTGTATCATTTGCGTAAAAACCTAAGGCCTTTTTGGGGTACCAAAAGGGGTAGGGTAAAACACAAATATAACTTATATCAATATAATCAAACAATATCACTTTTGTTTTTGAAAACATGTGTAAATGAAACAGGCATATATAAAAGAATGAAAATGGCAGAAATTCAATCGTCAATTAAAGGTTGTTTATGTAAAACAGAGGATTAAGTCAGGGGTTGTTTTAAGTAATTTTTAAATGAAAAGTGTTTTGTTTTCTCAATAATTTCTTTTCTAATGCATATCTCTTGTTGAAATTTACAACTTTACTCGTATAAGTACACTTACATAAAATATATATTCACTACGCACTTTCATTTTGTTTTATACTGAGTTATGGCTTATGGACACATCTCAAATTGGCAATTTCGAATTTCTCTCAATCTTATGTGAATAATAAGGTGCAGGACACCCTTTGTATGTTATAAGTATAATATATTAATAGTTAATATTGTATATTATATATATCATATCATATTTGCTCAACACCTATGGCTGAAGTGGGTTCCAGGTCCTGATTTGTTTTCTAACTTATCAAAGTAAACTTACAAATAAAACATGGCATTTGCCACCAACACTGTGAAATTATTAATTTGATGTATGAAGTTCGATTTGCTGGTAATTTTAAGTATCCTAGTCTCAATGAAAGTATGTTTTAATCATTACAGTTAACCTATTTCATTGTTTTATCAATTGCCTATTTCCAATAATAAGGGCTGATTGTTCATAGAAGGCATTTTGGGATAAGCATACAACTTATCATCCTCGATATCCAGGGTTACGCTCACTTTCGCTCTCTACACCCCTGGAATATGTCATAGCAAAAACGAAGGCACACGGCTAGCTATTTGATTAGTGTCAGGTTCAAAAAACCTGACCAATCACTAGTCTAATACTTGTCCTTTGAAGATTACAAAGGAGCGATGGCCGACTTCAAAGCCTGTCATTTTTAACCATTGCGTGAATGAGAGATTCTTTTGATGTACATCAAAGACCAAACTAGTCTTCTCGTCTCATTCACAAGGTGCTGCACACTGAGCCTTCAATTTTGCTTTGACATATTCCAGGGTGAAGAGAGCGAAAGTGATATCAAGGATGGCTTTCAGATAAATCAACGATTTCTTTTCTTTCCACTGTCTACTTTGCAAGACTTATTCAAATAACAACGTGGTCGACATTGACACCTTACTATACATCTGTACGGTGAGCGGGAATATTTTGAAACTACTTTCTTAAAACTCTTTCCTGACAGTAGCATACCTGCCACACGACATACTTTGTTTCCATGCCGAAGACTATTAAGAATTTACAGGTTTACTCGAAATATCACGATATCCGTTTTTCGGAGTAAGATGCATGTAGATAAAGACTGTGGAAAACCCTTGTGATTGCTGTCGGGATTTTATTGGGCAATTTTCAGTTTCCTTGTGCAACATGAATATCGACAGCTTTTTAAAATGCTGATATACACCGCCCCAGTTCCCACATTGAGGACGTAACATTTCTAAAAATTGATCAACATTCACATGGCAATGTTAATGAAAAACAGAAAACGCTTCCTTTGTCGGAAGACCTGGTCCAATTCCTGCTGTACTATTTTAAACTATATCCGTGTTAATCTTTTCTTTCTTAATATTTTGTCTTAGTTGTGTCGATTACTACAATTCTGTTCAGAATTCGATATTCACTGTTATACCGCTATTAGCTGATGTTGCTCCTGAAAATACATAAACTCTATTAACTTATGTAACTCCTGAACAGTTTTCGTGTTTAATTATATTTAAATTAAACCACATTCACTTTTCAATCAATTACTAATTTTCCTCTATTTTTGGCGTCAAACCTATTGTCAATAAGGAAACCACAGCATACATATAATTACTTTTCTCGGCAATTCTCCGGAAAAAAATACGTTCAGGGCCCCTGTTTGAACTTACAAATGAAATAGTCTGAAAAGGTTTAACTCCCTTGTTATCTCTTAAGTCCCTCTCCCTCTGCCCCCCCCCCCACCGCCCTTCCCGATGAATGCCACTCCTTTTTACAACGCTATTTCTATTGACCTTGCGATTATCTATCTCAAATAGAGGCCTTCGTTGACAAAACATTATATGTATCCCTTCATCATATGTACCAAAAGTGATAAAACATGTATAGACAGTATATCAAACAAGTGGTATCCAGGGCAGGTTGGAACCTTCATAAACGTTGTCGCCTTCAATGAAAACGTATTTTTTACTCTCGTTAATTGTTTCGAAAGCGATTCTATTTTTTTTCTTTTTTGATTATGGTGCATTTTTGTTTGTTCAAATCAATTTTAAACAAAACAATCGACCTAAAAACATGATTTTTAACCTGTATCTCACTGCTGTCGGTGACCTTGACATACTTTCAAAAGCAGACTTTCGTTACATAAGCGTTCAACTGATTCTACACAAACATGAGATCATTACAATTTGTCTGAAACATTACATAAGTGGATCTGTTAAGATGAATGACGCTCAAATATTCAAGGTTCACTGGATCTGCTTTGCAATAGTTCAATTTTGCTATGACATATTCCAGGGGTGCAGAGAGTGAAAGTGAGCTCTACTTGGCAGGGATTCTCCAACACCAACAACGCCAACGAATACTCTATATTCCCGTGTGTCATCCTTGATATCCAGGGGTTACGCTCACCCTCGCTCTCTACACCCCTGGAAACAAGAAAATTCTGCGGTCTGCTAGGAAATCCTTCCACCGTATAAAACAAAATAATCACCTAAAATACCAAGTTATCGGAATAGTTCTAACATTGCGTAATATGACTGTGTCAGTTTATCAAAGAACAGTCACGGGACACACTCGTGGTCATTTGTATCACGTATACGGGACGTGGACCTGATATAACAGACCGAGGTTGGTTAAAAGTCAATATTGCAAATCGTAGATAAGAAAACTAACGTTAAGTCTTTATGTGATTATAGCATTATCTGTCATGTAAATATATCATCCCATACAATACGCCACTAAAATTTACAGTTAAAATATCAATAAATTACAAACAATATTCCACTCTAAAAATCATCAAGGCGCCCAGTTGAATTGTAAACCCAACTAGCCAACATAATACGTAAGGTAGCAATTAACATATAGTTGAACCTCGTTATTTCGAACTCTTTTAACTCGATAACGAACCTGCATAACTCGATTCATCAGATATCTCGAAGTTTTCCCACGAACCGTCGACTTCGAGATAACGAGGTTCGACTGTATGTTTAAATCTTACCAGAAGTGTTCTCAACTAAGGATTCTTCTTGATTTGTTGTGGGATGTCAGAAGAATTTGTAATACACCTTGACGAATCCAGAGAATGAAGTGAACTGCTCCCATCACTGTTGATGCTGTCAGGATGATATTTGTTAGTTCATCACAGCGTTTCTCGAAAATATTAACCCATCTCAATCTAAAATATAGTATTAGATCAGTAATGAGTTATATAATGTTTCACATTCTGCACATTATTTCATGTATATACACTGAATATCATTGTAAATTAAGCGTTCTATTTCGGTATCAGAATGAGTTAAATTCCCACTATGACAGAAGTTCAACATCTTTTCTCCGAACACATTGACTCTTATGACCTGTTTGTTGCTATCTGGCTGCTATATACCCATACAGACTTGAGTTGACAGCTACAGTATTTATATATAATCAGCTGTTTCCTTGATTCACCTTATTTTTCCCCTTTCAATGTCACTAAACAATCAAGGAAATAGAGTTTGGGTCATAAGACTTTGAATCGAAAGTGAGAAGTAATACGAACGTGACCGATAGTAAACAAATATGAGGAAGTCACGTATGACTTTCGTTTGGAATTGTTGAACAAGAAATTGTCGAATCATATAATTAATGTTATCTTATTTACATATTGAAATCAGGATTATGTTTTAATCTTTCCATCGGAAATGGAACAACATGTTAGAAAGTCATAAGGGGTCTTCACTTTGGCAACACCACAGGTCAGCGCCGTCAACACAGATGTATGTAACACCACATGTCAGCGCCGTCCACACAAATTTATGTAACACCACAGGTCAGCGCCGTCAACACAGATGTATGTAACACCACAGGTCAGCGCCGTCCACACAGATGTATGTAACACCATAGGTCAGCGTCGTCCACACAGATGTATGGCGTATTTATTGACCCTTTTCACCACTTTCCCTTTTTAAGTTAACCTTTTTTCATTCAATTAATACGAACTATCTGTGTGCATTTAAAACCAAAATAAATGAAAAAAAAATAAGACTAAGCTTAAGATACGTTCTATAAATATGGCGACACTTCACGATAGCCTAGGTTAATCGACACCCATATGTATGCACTTCTACTTGTCGTAGGCGCATAGCTTTCAACCAACAAATGATTTGTTTCTATCGTGTGATTGCCTTGTTACTTAAGCATTTAAATTTAAACCGTCCGTAGTTGTACTGATTTTTATTAATATATAAGCTGCGTTATAGAATAAAACAAAAGGAATATATAATTTGAATACACTTAACATAAATATGTAATACACTATACATTGATACCTGATACACTAAACATAACTATATAATACACTAAACATCGACACCCGGTATACTTAACATAACTAGCTTGTACAATAAACACCGTTACTAGGTACACCAAACATAACTATATAATAAACTAAACATCGACACCCGGTACACTAAACATAACTATCTTTTACACTAACTACCGTTACTAGGTACACTAAACATAAATATCTTATACACTAAACACCGTTACTAGGTTCACTAAACATAAATATCTTATACACTAAACATAAATATCTAGTACATTAAACATTGATACCCGGTACAGTAAACATAAATATCGAACACACTAAACATTCATACCCGATACACTAAACATAAATATCTAAAACACTTAACATTCATACCCGACACACTAAACATAACTATCTAATACACTAAACATAACTATCTAATACACTAAACATAACTATATAATACACTAAACATCGACACCCGGTACACTAAACATAAAAATATAATACACTAAACATCGACAACCGGTACACTAAACACACTTATCTATTATACATAATATTGTTACATGTTATAATATATATATATATATATGTACATCTTGAATTTGTTTTATTTCATGATCTGTTAATTGACTGATTTGTTTATACTTTCTACATGGCTTTCTTTACCTTGCCTTTCTAGTGAGGACGTGATATCGGGTTACACTCTTACATTTTATAAAATCTTGGAATGAACTACGAAAAAAGTCACTTGCATCTCGTATAATGGACCGATACGTAACAAAACAAACAAACCTGGATTGAATATCAAGAGTTAGTGCAGTACAAAAACTAAATGTTTACCTTTACAACAGTTGACAACTATGGTATTTTTGAATGTCAGGATAAAGTACAACACAAAACACAAAATTCGACTATAGTAATTATCTAACCAGATACTTGAATGTCAAGATTTAGTGAAACCCAAAACAAAAACATATACCCCTACAAATGACAACTATATTATTTATGTAATAAAATATTTCCTTGTTCTACTTCATAATAATGTTTGCACAGCAATATTACTAAGCAAACCGCGGACATAGAGTTTCGGGTCATAGTACCTTGAATCAAAAGCGATTAGTAATAGGAACGTGACCAAAATTAAACAAACAATGCAGAAGTCATGTTTGAGTGTCGTTTGGGATTTTCGGACAAGAAGGAAGTTTTTATTTCAGTATGAAACGATGGTAATAACATTTCAATGATATCAAAAGTATCATACTGTATAACTGTTTAATGTTAATGAAACAACACGTTTGAAAGTCATAAGTAGTCTCCCTTTCGGCAATACCACATGTCAGTGCCGTCAACACAAATACATGGTATGCTTAATAACCCATTTCACAACCCTCATTTTTGCACTTTGCACTCTTATTCAACCCCAGTTTATTATGTTCTACTTGCCCTAGGCGCCAACCCTTACGACTTGTACGTGGTGGTGAATTTACTACGGGAGGTCATCTCACAAAGAAATAATCTTCTCTTCAGCAATACCGCAGGTCAGTTCCCTAAACACAGATGCGTGCTTCACTTCCTCGCTATCAACCATTTACACGAAGCTACACAAAATTACTAAGTTGTTTGTATGTTATACACACCTTGACTTAAAATGTTTTCAAATCAAACTTTATTAAGTTTACATCAATTATGGATTAAGCTAATTCAACTAATGTTAATCACTCATGTT